TGGGTGACTCGATCAGGAAGGTGCGTGCCGTATTCGTGGATGTGGTCTTCTGGATAATCTACCTCAATGGTTGGAGGCCCTACCAGACATGGCACAGTAGCGTAGTCGGTGGCGTTCCTGCAATCGGATTCTTGTTCCATCCCGAATTACTTTACGCAGCTCGTAGTTATGCATGTATTGGTAATTGTTACTTGTACTAAGGAGATAACGAGTACATCTACCGGCTTTCGACTTCACACCGTGTTTTTCAAAGGCAATTAGGGTCGACCAATTAGGGAGTAGATACCCACAAAGTGCATTTGTGCGCTCGTGATACGTGTTGCATCTATATAACCTTTCCGGTTTGCATATGCCCGCTATGTGTGTTGACATAGGAGAAGTTGACTCCGGAACAACCGTGGTTCAGACACAAGCACACCTTCCTACCATGTTCCTTCTAGTCTACGCTAGCGTTATTGTGAATTCATCACGAATGGACTCAGCCAGACGTTCGAAAAAGCGCTGTATGACGGTTTTACCTTTTCCAGAATTGGCAACAGGTCACATTTCTTGTGTTCCCTCCGTAGGGGTTTAACCTTGTGTGTCAATGTTTGATCTACTGGACTACAGTAAACGGTAACGACTATCCCGTGGTGAATAGTCGCAATGCAGAGCGAACAATGCTCTTGCGTTATGTGCTTTTCCACCGTTTGGAGTGTGCAAATGCTCCCCGGAGCGCCGATTTTTCACAGCTAACCTAAGGCAAAGCAGGCAGTCATGTTAGAATGCTGATTACAAGGAATGTGGGTGATTTAAATCGATTCTCTCACCTTTAAACGCATGCAGATCACCAATGCACGTCCGGAACAGATGGCCGGAGGGGTTAGATATTTTGTTGAGAATTCATCCCGAGAGGACGAAACAGCCACCCAGTACCTCTCCGGAAGTGTGATAGGTTGGTGACTGCGGCTAATTGTAACGAAGTTAACACTACTGTCTAAATTCACCCGTTACTCCGTTGTTGCCTTGAGTTTGTTGTGTATGTGTGTGCGCGCTGGAGACATTTGCTGACAAGGCTAGGAGCCGATCTCAATGGCATTCGTGCTGTGAGTATCTTTGACGCACCCCGTCTCTCCCCCTCCAACCACGATCGCACTATTTAACCTAATATAATTTTGCATAGCAATATTTTTTGCTGCAAAGTAGCCGGCTGGTAGCTTACCGGAAAGATGCCCATCGGTTACTGGTAGCGCAGCTGGCTTGCATCTGTTGCATTTTCCCCTTTGTTTCTTTTACGTATTGCGGCACAGTAGCTGAGGTGTTTCCCACCTCTAGCTAACCTGTACACTGAATGAATGAATGCTGTGTGTGTGTGTGTGTGTGTGTGTGTAAGGAGTTAGTGGTGCGCAGCATAAGTCACTTATGATCCGCCAATAGGCGATAAACCAAGTGAAAAACTGGGACTATCAACTTCTTCCTGTTGCACGTTTTAGAACTGTTATAAAATCTTAACCCTTGCAGATTTGCGAGAAAGAGTGGTACATAAAGCAGCATACCAACTGAGCTGACAGAAAGCATTAACGGCCCTATATGTGTTCAGCTGTATAATAGAAGTATTTAGTGGGAAATGCACGATCAATAAAAGCGTGGACATTTTCAAAACAGTTAAGAGCATAACGGTCAGTTTCTCTGCATGCTCCAAACATGCAACAGCGTCACATGGCAAGCGGAAATGCGACGGGGAGACCTACATTAAACATACAAATACAGGCTGTATACTCAACTTCACTCTCTGTATTGTCCAGCAAAGACAAGCGATGTTATAGGTGATAATAACTTCACATCGTATAGTTGAGAAGTATGTAACGAACTGCACGCTCCAGACAGCACAGTGCCTGGTTGCGCTGTGTATCTCCTTATTGTTGCTTCGATTAATGAAACACCATCGCATCAAAAAGTAGGGCGACTCTTTTTGGAAATCGACAATTCGTTAGGCGAGGATGAATTAGAATTCCAATTTTACCCACAAAGTAATGTTTGTGAATCAACTGATCCGGACAACCATTTTTCAATTAGAAGCATCATGGTTACTAACACTGAGACCCAGCAAGCAGATGAACGTGCGAAATGGAGTGCGGGACGTAGTCAATGTCTTGTTGTATCAAAAGTATCCTCAAAGTATACCAAATAGTAAGCGTTGGTACAGTTGATTGCTCTTTGGAGTGTTCTGCAGAAGTCACGCCGCGCACCCGAAGACTTTGGTGGCATGAAACTACTAGGCGTGGATGTGCATCAGAGCTACTGAGAGATATTTCAGTCTACTCATTCGATCTAGAAGGGGACTGCGTTGTTCTCCTTCGCATCAGGATTCCTCACATTGGCTGTCTACAACCACGATATTTTAGGTTGCAGCTTTATTTCACGAATCCAACTAAGCGCGTTAGAACGCGTAACCTGGGATCATTCTATTCATCCTTCTCAAACAGCAAAGTGAAATGCTTCCCAGTGACTAAAACGCTACGCATAAACAATTGGTGTCAAGCAGTCTACTGGAAACATAATGGAACTACGGATTATAACGGGTTCAAAGACAAATGATTAACAAGTTCCACAGGATGGGTGGAGTGAATAGTAGAAGACAAAAAGCAGTGTTGGTAAAAAAAACTCGCGTGAGACACGACTCACCAAGGGGTTTGCAATAGCACGTGTGTGAATCATCCTGCCTTGAGTTTAAAAGGTTTATGACACTGTCCACTGTTTGTTCCGTGTTAGTGCCATCAGCTGTTAGTCATGCCCTATGTCACGTGGCGAAAATGCATCAAGGCATCCTCAAGACGCGTTTTCAGTAGTGATAAAGTTTTGGCACTAATTACCCGCGTTTTGAGGACGTACCAGGGCTGTGACACCCGGAGGGAGAAGACACTTCAATGACATTCCAGTCGGCTGTACTGCATGGTCAACTTAAACTGATGACACCTCAACCATACACGTGTTGGCTGAGTTGTAAGAGATCATAGCATGCGTGGTCGGGGTTTATTGGGATGCGATATAGCATAATGAGATCTCCCTGTAGACGCTGATAACGTCCGCTGTACACTTTTGACGTTTTCAACGTGAGTAGGTGGGGAACCTGGGATACAGTTTTGACCTTCCTTGTCGCTCGGCGTTGCGCAATCTCGAGCGCGGTCAGACGGTGCTTTTGCCACGGTCACCATGCTTGAAAGTCGTATTCCGTGTGCGTCACAGATGCATACGGTAGCCGAATTCTTCTCGATCACACGAAGGACATTGCACTCATCATCTAGTATGGGCATAGCTACAAGAAGGCACCACGTCTAGTGCGCGCGACATGGTTAGCGACATCCGGTTCCGGATTTGCCTGTCACTGCTGCCTCCATAAGACGGCGACAGGAAGCCTGCGCCTACTGGGGGACGATGCGTAAGTTGTGCTGCACCACCCACATCTCCATCCACCTAGCCCATATCCAGTGCAAACCCGAAAGAATAGACTGGGTGGCATGTGTTTGGAAGCCACCTTTCATTGAAAGAATCGGCCCAAGTTGCTTCAACAAGTAGATCGGAAACATGCACGCAAAAATTGGCAATCATGCGTACCAGACATACACAAGGCGGTGGCTAAGACGCGGCCCGTTACCCAATGGATTCGTGAAACGACGCTTACAGCGTAGCACCGTCACCAGGAAGGTGTACTCCGTGCCCTCCAGCAATGATCAACTGTCTCCTGGATCCAGTATAGATGAGGTGTTGTGTAGTAGACAAGTACGCATCTTGCCAACATTCACATCATGCAAAGCCACACCCGGGTTATCACTCAACAACCGCCAGCCCGTGAAATGCAAGAAACTCAACACGTACAGACCAACTGGAACGACGATGTGGCACACGTAGCACATCAAGCGCCTGATTGGCCATGGTTACCAAATCGAATGTAAGCGGAAGCAGCGTACCTACACTGCTGCACTCATTATGCTTAAATAATCAATTGACTCGTCGTCTCTTGGATGCTAGTCGCACATGGCAACGCTGGTGGCTCACCAGGCCCCAGCCTGGCTCTGGAGTTCCACAAACCGTTGCGCATGGCAACTCACCCGCTGACTTGTCCCAACTGGAGTAATCTTTCCTTCCTATTTGTCCCCGTCTCCTCTCTTCCATAAATCGCATTCAGACCAGCCTGGAGTTGTTCGATGGCTCTTGATTTGCTTAACCGCGATTGCATTACCCTGCTTGGAGTTCTTCCTGAATGCATCGGCAAATGCGTTTCTGTTTCATTTACTAACTTACTAACCAACAACTGTTCTCCATTGCCGAAACCAGCTACTGCTCGTCGCTGGCGACCCGATCGCAGCTCGTTCCGGTGGGCTTGTTTTGCGCCGTCTGATCTAGTTCATAATGCGTATGCCTGATTCTTTTTTAGCCCGCTTCTCCCTCATCCGTGTCATGGTTGTCTCTCGCATCCTTATGTTAGCATAAATAACACTAATCAACCAGGTTTGCACCACATTCCTGCTAGAACCACCGAGTAGTGCGATCATTGTATAAACCGGCGAACGCTTGTCATAGTTGTCGTTTGTAAAGGTGTGCACACTGGTCTAAATTAATAAACTGGTCACTTTTCTGATTGTAGACCGCCCAAAACTTGCTCGGCCAACACTTGTTGCACAATGCCCAAAACGAAGCGGAGGTCAACGAAGCAGTACATTGGTTACACAGGGCCGCCGTCAGTGGAGACCCCATGGCAAGTTACAACCTGATGGTGGCCTATTTAAAACAACACGCCCGGAGTGATGAATCGACCGTGGCCAGAATTCGGCAACTGTTCGAGTCTGAAAACACACAAGGTTCTCCGGATCAGTGGAAACTCCTGCAAAGTTGCAACAACGGGGGAAAGTGCGCGCAAATTGTGCAAGAGCTAACCGCTTCTAGTCTGAACACCCAATAATTAAACAGTTTGTAGAAAATATTAGTTGCTTAACCATCAGTTGATTTGAAAAATCACTTACACGTTTGATGTTGTAATTTCCATTACCTCCGGATTCGATCGACTTATCATTTTGACGACTGGTCGCGAAGGTCCCGTTCTCGTGTCTCATCCTCTCAACATAAGATTGCAGCTCCTGGATGCGCATCTGGCAATGGGTGTGAAAGTGGTTTTCTGTGAATTCAAGGTGAGCAGTGAGTACAGCCCCAAAACACTGTCCTATCACAGAACTTATAAATTAGGCAACGAACAGAATTGTGAGGCATTAGTAAAACATATGCTGCACTTTGAGACAAGAATTTCGCACGTTTGTAGGTCGTACATTTAGGTGCGCACAAAATTTGACCCAATTTGCTCACTCGGTAGGGAAGAGATTCAGAAAGAGCCGATAACGCAAAGCAACCAGTGCTTGAGTGTTCAACACTGTGCGAGGCCCAGTTGAACACCATAACTCTTAATGAAACTTTTAATTTGAAATGTGATAACCTACCGCGTTGATTGTGCTAATATTTGAATTGCAAAATCAGTCACCTCACGTTATATTTACAATGAGATCGATAGCGAAAATTTCGGTGACGGACACTTTCGTTTACACCCCAAAGTGCGAAAAATGGCAAGTGATGTGAGCTTAACAGAGCTGTAGCTGGCTAACTTGAAGGAGAAAAAGGGTGTTGCTCCCCGGACGGGGAACTGGCCGTCAAATATGTTTTCTGAAACTACCAAAACATCTAACTACTTAGTTTCAAAAGTGTGCACACGCCACCTCGATTGGCTGCAGTTTGGAAGGAAAGTCATATATACCGGTGAGTACTAAGGGATTTATTGGGTTTTTGTAAAGATTCGTCGTAGCTAGACTCAGACAGACGGCCACCAGACACCAAGGAAAGCGATTCCCTGGATGTGTGGAACTGTCTGTCTGAGTTTAGCTGCGACGAATTTTCACAAGAAGTAGCACTTGCCCTATGCACATGCGCAATATGCATGTACAGGTGAGATGATCTGCGTGTTATATCGCTGTCAGTAATCAATCATGCAAGCCCACACACAGCTCTTAATTTCGAACTCAGGAGAAATTGAGGGAATGCACTCTGCTGATCAGCCCGGGTGAGATGAAATACGTGTTCAGTGTTTATTCGGAAGTGCTTCGGACTGTGTATAACTGGGGACTAATGGTGCTAAATCTGCTTGAAATTACACCAAACTACACTATTGTTCGTTAACAGCCGGAAAAGCTTTAGGCTGTAATTGCGAGGAAGCATGTAAACTAATTTATTCGAAGGGTAAACCTCAGGATAACGTTACAGTGGCTCTCACTGTACCAACTTCAGTTTAAATTTGATAATTAACACCACAACCCATGGTCCAGGGGCGTCTCTTGGCATTAGAGGTCTTAGGTTCAGTTCCTGGAGGGATGGGTGCAACTGACGAGTTCCAATACTTCAAAACGGCTGTCTGTCACCTTTTCAAAAGTGTGGCGGTTGTCGGACTGAGAATGACGACGATGAACCTTGCCTGAAAACTAAAAGACCAGTACCGCACTCTGGGATTTGTCATACTAGATTGTCTTACTGCTTGGTTGGTTTGGGATATGGTGGTCGCTTTTGTAAAACTTGGTCCTCACACCTTATTCTCTAAGGTGGCAGCGAGGCCACCTTTCTCACGTGCTAGTAAGTTGTCACAAGTACATAAATGTTGACTAACTTCCAAACGCTCCAATCATGTTGTTTGTGTTACCAACAACACACTTATCACCTGACCACTGTCACATTCCCCGCTTTGTGTTGGTAAATAGCTCAGGCTGATGCGACTCCTTAACTTTTCATCGAAAACACTAACCTTGAGTCGGGGTATGTCTGCACGCGTTGTTTCCAATTCGCTTCGGAGCTCCATGTTCTCCTTGGTCACTCGAAGTAGGTCTTGCTGTATGGCTTGATCCATTTGAATCCTAGCTGGCGTGCTGCGTCCAGTGTCTATCAGTTGCTGCTCCAACGCCTTGATACGCTCTTGTGCCAGACGATGGCGAAGCTCAGCAGCCTTTTGCAAGTAAAGGCATGAATGTAAGGTTTGCGCAAACACACCAGTGCACATGGGTCACGTCGTATGACTTTAATCTTAGTCTTGAAGAGTAGTAACTTACTACGAGACAGAATAGCACAAAATGAACCAGCATAAGCGATTGTACAAATGTTCTCATGGACCGGATAACTTAAACAGCAAAGCGGGGTAGCAACTGCAGGAGCCGCTGAAAGACACCACCAGCACGGATGTACTGATTCGCCGGGACACGGAGGAGATAGTGTGGTTGCAGAGGTCAGGAGACCAGAAACTGCGAAGTTGAGGAAATTATAGTGAACTACAAACAAATGCGAGTATATTTGAGTGCGGCCGTTAAATGCACACAGAATTCACAAAAACAGAAGTAGCCTGTCGTTAAACACAAGTACATATATTAGATGCTTCGTATCTGTAAACGAACTAAGCTGGTGGTATATAAATCGTTTAATTTACAGTTCCTTCCATGTGACATCCAAACACGCGTGGTATACGAGACAGGTGTAAATAATCTGAAACAAAGTGTCCGATGACCTCATCCGTGACCTACTGGTGCAACCTCGGATAGCAGATAGCGGATGGCGGAGCAATACCTAGCCTCTATGCAACATGACACGAGTAAGAATGCCTGCAGCCCCTTCGCCGAACATCCGCTTAGTGCATGCCATCAGATTCGGACTGAATACGTATTCAAACTAGTCTACACGGGATCGAAGCGCAGCCCCAAATCGCTTGTTGATCACCGGTCAGAGTACTTCAGCCGGTGTTGTGTAAGCAGGGAACACTTGTACAAGCGCTCATTTTGCCCCCAACAGTAATGAGATTCTGTTTACATCGGATAGTGACTGCGGTCGTAAGTGACCATTGTCGCCCACATTGGCCAACGCGCCCATGCTTTGTGCATGCACGTCTCACGATGCCTACCAGTTGACTGCATCGTCTGAAATATCAATCGCCTTAATTGACTCAATTAATCATATCCCCAGGTTTCGCTGTCCTATCACTATTGGCTTAGCCTTGTAATTGTATTTGCTTGAAGTGAATTGCCGGAAAGAGTACTCTTCGCAGCTGTTGTACCTCTAGTATCTGAATGAGAATAATTTCTCGAGCAACTAGTGTTGAGAGGCCATGAGTTCGGTTCCTGATGTAGTCAAGGAAAGCACATTTTTTACGAATCCTGTGATAGGATGAAACATCCGTCTTGTGTTTCTCCGGGTGCTTAGTAGGCCATCGGACTTGAAACCAACTGCGAAGAACCCTCGGTTGATGTTGGTTGAAAGTAGACGTTTAAAATTCTCCCTAAAATTACTGGTTGATGTAATACGAGATCGGACGTCCCGGGCTAGCTTCAATGAGAAATTCGGAACCGTGGTCGATGATTACCACTAACAATAACTCAGTGTGTTTGGTGTCCAAGTATTTTTGGTATCCCCAGATAGGGGGACATTTTTGATTCTACGTAATTTGCAACCACGGACTAGTGGTGCGCTGTTTTGGCGGCTACAAATAACTAGCCCGGTTTAACTCAGTGAATACGTCTCCAATCATGCTTCAGAAAATTGGTAAAATAAGGAATTGACCATCTTCAAAGTTGAATTTAGGGAGCACGCTGTGTGGTGGGGTTGCGACTCGCAACTTCTATTGAGACCTCGGTTTACTTTGAGGTTAACTTAGGTCATTCCGATCTCGAGGACCGTATCCTGAATGGAAATCTTTGAGTGTTGCTCTTCCCAACAATGACACACCACGACCGCGGTTTCATCCTGGTTTGGACACGTCAGGTGTAGATAGCCTGAGCTGGGATGAAACTTAGCGCTTAGTAGTTCATGGCTGACGCCCTGAGCACTATGCTACTGAGATCCGCGAGCAACGCTTGGCGCAGCGGAAAGCAATTCAAAGCCGAATTTAGGGAGCACGCGGTATGGTTGGGTTGCGACTCGCATCTTGTTGCTCCTCTTCAATTTTAATCTTGCGAAACCCCATGGTGACAAAATGCACCCGAACGCTAAGCAATCATACACCTAGCCTCATGGCCAAAAGTCAGTTCGGCTCTAGAGTGGAACGGGCAAAATTCTATGGTCAAACACCCAGGCAATTAGCTAAATAAGTCGCAGACTGAACTAAAGATGTGTAAATAAGTTCAGCACTGAAAGATTATTGACGTGTAAGATAAACACAGGACATGTGTGCAAGTCCCATCACAGAAGATACTATCAGCGCACCCCTGTGGTGTGCGCGACAGATGGGGACCTGATGCCCGAGTACAGCTAAGTATGATTGCCCAGCGCTCTACAACTCACCGGATCAGCACCATTCAACGCGCTATCAACCAACGCCTGTTTACAGGGTACGTAATGTGCACATTCAGAGTATGCGGGCGGACAAATGTGGCGCCGTAAGTTGTTACTGTAAACACCGCTAAACTCTCGAGTGAAAGCTGAACGACACTCAGTCAAAATGGTTTTGCAGTTGATTTCAGTAAAGCCGAAATACGCCATCTGCCCAGTGCAACTAACAACAACAGATTCGCCTAAATATTTTCCGTTGGTAAGCTCGCGGAAAGGTGTGTCAAAGCTTCCCATATCGTAGACCAATTATGACGTGCGCTTTAGATAAACAAACACTAAAAATCGTTGTTAAAACATGTACAAGTACTTTTCCGTTTCCATGTTCGCAGTTTTCTTTTCAATACCCTATACTACGTTCAATTTACAACATGATCCGCTAACTTCCTCCTCTTTATGACTTCCGAAATGCAATTCGTTCTGTCGTTTTGTGGTGATTACTATCACCAATACAAAGTGCATTATCGGAGGGAATACCTGTCTGGGGGCAAATGGAACAGTAATTGCTCATTAATGGATAACAAGCTGTGTACAATAAGGGCTCTGAAGGTAAACTGTGCATAATAATCAAAAAACCAGTAAACCACGTCTGGCGTTATCGAGAAATATGTTACCATATTATAGGTGAACGATGCGAGTGAAAGGTGGTAGCTGTTCTTTCCTTTAGTACAGTTTTCTACCGAAAATTAAGGTGAAAACATTCGTATACCTACCTCGAGTTCCACTGGTCCACCGGTTACGGGCTTCGTCTCTACCGGCAGGTCCAACGATATGGGCTTCGCTCGACGAAGCATCTCTACCTCAGATTTCAACTCCAGCACCTGCTGATGTAGTGCCAGCCTTTCCTTTAGTTCACCAGGTTTCACTGAGGCCTTTCTTTTCTCCAGTGCGTCCAGATCCTCCTTTTCTGGAAGCATAGCTGGTTGCCAATTATGCGAAAGACGTCCGCGCAACAATTCATTCTCACTAAATGATGAAGAAGACGAGAATAATTATACCTCGTGAGGCATTTATAACAGTTATCATATGCGGCGCATGGGCAGATATCTAAGCATCCTACTTAACCATCCAGAACCTTCGATCGGTGACCATTCGTCACAGACGGTATGTAAAATCAGCTCGGTATGTCCTTCGCTACCCTGAATGGATCACGTGATTTACTGTCAGCATTGTTCCTGGTATGGCTTGGTTCACTTCTCGCGCGGTGAGCTTCATATGCACTTTGTTACTCGCTTAAAGCAATACCAGTGTCCTTAACTTTCTTCGCCTGCCTGACATCGATCGTTGGCGAGTAATGCATACAGAACCATGAAGATGAACTTAGACTGACGTTTCTCCGGATAGCAGATTCTCTTCAGTTAGGCGATTGCGAAGGTAGACCGTAGGCTAATCAACAAGGTCTGCTTTTCTAACCGAATTCGCTAGCTTCATTCGGTGGAAATTATATGAAGTCACCTGTTAGTTGCCTACTGAGAAGAAGAAATTCTTTGTATTAGATGATCAGCCAGAGTAGCCTTGTGTTTTCGCAGATGAAAAAGCTTAGGTTCATTTTATTATTAAACTAGGACTTTTGCGGTGATATACTCGGTAACTGGATACTTACTTAATGGTTGCGTATAATTATAAATGAGAACAGACACTGGGTACTCTACTTCCTTAATCACCCACGGCCAATCGTAGCCGTATGAGAACAGTTCTAAGACACGGAATCCGTTACCTACAGATATTTTACAAGGGGAAGCTATCTGTGGAGCTTTGCATAATTCGGTTAAATGGCGACAACATTATCTCAGCTTGAAAGAAGCCGTGGCGGGTAGAATTGACTATTACAACAACGTGCATGTATCTTGTGCGTCAGATCTGACTACAGACGTCTCCTTGGAAGTTGCTTGGTGCACTCTTGCTCGAGGTCTTCGTCGAGTGATGCCTCTACGTTTCTTCTCGGCGTAAATTCTTTCGCGGTCTTGTGAATTAATATACTGTTCCGATGTTCGTTTGCTTTATAAAAGATCTTAGTTGGTTCGACTCCTAGTCGGAATGGGCTGAAAACTATTCACCGTTAGTACCTCAAGCGCATAGTAACCAAACGAATTCGTATCGGTAGGGTTTACAGGACTTTGTTTTTAAACATATGTACGCGCGAACGAAGACTGGCACCGAAACGTGTAATTTCGCACGACGTCACAGCGACCCAGAAAACATAGGCTGTCTGATAGCTAAACTTCGTTTGCTGACTAAGCTAAAGGCAAAGCTATTTATTTATGGCCTAATAGTATAGCAGCCTAATGCATAAACTATAGAAGAAGATGAGTGCTGATACCATATATATAGTGGTAGTATCCTAATGAAAACTCTGTTGAAATCCGTATGGCTTAATACGGTGGCTACAGTAGCGTTGCGGGGGCCAGCCTAGGCGAAGTCTGCAGAGTCTATGCTGACCAGTAACAGCGATTTCAATGAAGGGAGCTCAGCTGTTACCTGCGCAGTCCGAGTAGCCCCATGGTGACAGCATTTCTGTGAGCTCAGGTGAAGTCTACGCAAATTGCTTACCGCTCCGCAAGCTCCGCAACAGTATGGTCCTCAGTTGACCCACTACCGGCCAATTGGCCCGTTCCTCAACTATTACTGGCACCTTGCGTAGTAGTATCTACTCTCGGTGCACCGTAAGTTGCTGAAAGGAAACTGGTACACAACCCTCCTTTTCATCCACTATTTTTTGAAACGAATGGGAGGAGTTCCTTTTACAATTCGCTTTCGGCTGCCACGATATTGAGCGCAGATGGATAAATGATCGAAGATAATGTATGAATTACATGACTTATCTATACATATATTCAATACTATACCGATTACAACATAATTGGCTGATTGCCACGACACATTAGAAGAAAAAGATAGCATGAAAGGGAAGACAACTGTTAACACGATCTCTGGTGGTCTGGAACTCGGCAGACGATAGAAATTTATGCAGTTTGGCAACCGCTGAGTGTAGACGGTAACAAGTATGCAAGAAACAGCCACATGGTACACAGCACCGAACAGTGCGATGCGAATCCCGATACACAGTGTTGGAACTCAGAAGGACCACTGGTGTGTTCTCGGAGCCACTACAGGGAAAGAGTAATTCACTGGCTACTTTGTGATGGACATCACCCGGTTAACTCAGGCCAAGGCGAACTAATTGCACAAATCGAGTCAGGCTATGGGTCAGGTCATTTATGCCAACGGACACTAGAGACTCTTAGATTTCATGTAGATGCTGTTTCTCTAATAGGCAGGAGCCAGTGTAGTCTTGTTTTAGCATTCGCATTGACATAATAGTTGAATGTAATTTGGAACAATCTCACTTATATGGTATTTAACGGGGTCACTTCTTTCCATTTATGTTGAACAACACGATACTTACCGCAGAGCACTCTCTAATGCAATCCTGATCTCCTCCAGTTGCCTTTGAGCACGCTGCAGTTCTGCTATCTTGCTTGCTAACTGGGAGTTCAAACTGACCACTTCCGCTTCCAACTTTCTCATCTGCAACAGGTCATGAGAGGTGCTGATTGTTGGCCATTCGGTTATCTGGGGTGGAAAATGAATTTAAATGATTTCTTTTGCCTGAGGCGAAATGTTAATGTGAAATACGATGCATCGTTTTACAAGGTTCTTCAAAGATGGCCTGGGACTCATTAGCCTTGAAGCAGGATGAAAACATGTGAATCGTTCAGCACGCTTTAACGAGCAGTGAGTTTCCCACTGGTGCCGGTGAAAGGAAGAATTAAGAAGTGCACTCTCCATGCGCACATACATCAGTCCAAGAAGTGTATACAATGAAAATCAGTGCCTATTTTCACAAATTGAAATTCGATTGGTCAGGGACAAAGAAAATTCAGGATTTCGTTCATACATTGCACCTGAATGAGAATAAAACCAAGCACATTGATTGAAGTGACCTTCTCACAATTTCCTTCTTTTTACAGACAGGCCAGACAGGCAGTACGTAACCAGAAATGCACTAAACGACCGTCTCAACCTACCAGGAATCCTTAGCAGTGCGCATTGCGTCGGTTCGCTGGGATGATAGGACTCGTGCGCCTACGCATAGGCATCCGGGGTTAAGACTATTGGGTTAGACCCTAACCGTTAGAGGCACGATTGGTAACTAGCGTGGCCAGGTAACGGGCTGTGGCAGAGCGTATGCTCATGCTCCGCTGCCGTGCACGTTTTCCAAGGCAAGGGTATGGGTAGCCCCTTGAGCAACAAACTTCGCTGACTGATACGCCATCGTCCGTCTGCATTCTGAGCTAGCCGGAGTAATAGATTAATTGCACCGAGCAGTGTAAGGAGAATCAATCCTGTTCTCTTCTCGGAAGAAACCCGCTGGATAATGAAAGACGAGTGTTACGCTACATCACAGCTGGGTACCTGACGCTGGCTGATACCGCTCGTCACCATGATCCGGTAGTCTTGCCCATTAGAATGTGAAGGGTCGCGAGTTTTAGCCTCTCATGCAGTGGGGCGGATGTATACTGCTGATTAATCACGATATAATCGGATGATACCAGAGACTCGGCTAAAATAATAGTTTGCTAACCCAATAAAAAGAGAGGCAAGATAGCGGTCAGATAAGGAAATCTTGGGTGACACACATGGCGCAATATCGCTACCAGCTATACACCGGCGAACGGCTCACGTCGAAAATGGAAAGCAAAATGAACTAGATGAAATCGGAAGTTACAAAGAGGTAATTCCACTAAATTACTATCGTAGAATTATACAAGGAGGAAGACAAATTAGTCTATGTAACACAGTGTCGCGAGGAGTCCATCACAACGATGAGCTTTAAATTTAATATTAACAGTCCTTAACGTCTACATACATGGTAGTCTCACAAACCTCAAACAATTAATAATACATTATCCCAGTCTACCCTTCAAACGATCGTCTCAGTAATATGGTGCGATGAATTAGATTCCTCTCACTTGCGTTGCCAAGTTAACTACAGCACGTCACCGGGGAGAAGTGAAAAAATGAACTTTGCCAACAAAATCCTTGGATGACACAAAGTAACTAAATGCAATAACCTCAATAACTTCACGGCTGTGCCATATCGAAAAAACCCAGTCATAATCCATCCATTGGACCCCTGGGACAGCGAACTCATTGGCTGACCCACTTGTGAATTAACTCAGTCATTCATTGTGTCCAAGTCCGTGCACGTCGAGGTAGGCAGTCGACAGACATGTGTAAAACATGGTCACTCCAAAGTGCCGCTCATTGATTAGTCTCATCAAGTATGAACAGTGCTACCTGTTCAACAGTCATCAAAATCGACGGGTAGTAGACGCATCCCTAACACACGCATAGATATTGGACACATCCCAATATGGACACCCCTTGGCCTTGAGGAATCGGCTTACAGCTTGCCCTCTTCACAACTGATGGTGACTTTGCAGAGCCGCAGGGGTATTCTTTATCTCCAGAGTAGCTCGGGACGTAACAGTTACTTAGGCGATTAAACCATAACCCTGTATTGTACCTTCAAGGTGTGTAGCGTGGGGCGTCTCGCATCAGCATATGCAGAACTTAAGATTTACTTGAGCGGAGACATCCTCGATGTACTCAACGTTTGTCAGAAACTCCATTGGTAGAATCAACTCAGACAAAGTAAACAGGATAGTTATCGTTATGCGCAGCCTTATAAGGAGGAAGGTGGAGACAGAGGATCTACGATGCACCCTACTTTTTGCAATGAGGGTAGAGAATAATTTCTCCTAAGCTCATGTGTTACAATCATACTGGGGCAACAGGATTGTCTGAACTTGGAACAGACAGCGGTTACCTCTTGCTCCAATGCCGTGTTCAAAAAGTACATCGATCTCTCGACTTGGTTTCGGGTTAGGATTATCCTAACTCTAACAACCGACACACATATTAATGAATTCACTAAATCCGTTGTAATTGTCCACTTCATTGAAAAGCATACTGACTTAAATGAAATTTTGTTCTCTAATCTTCCAACCCCCCACTCTGGTTTATCCAGTCGTGTTGGTAGTTTGCAGTTGCAGAGACATATTCACAAATACCAATGGCTAACAGTAAACGAATGGCTACTCCGTTTCTGTAAGTAAACTTGGGGAACGGTGCCTTATGTACATTACCTTTGAGATGCTTCGGCCTACCCCTTCTACAATGAGTAAGGTGATTCATCCTTTTTCTGAGGAGTAGCACTTCTATTAGAATACAATGCCCAAATTTACGTGGTGGTTGACTGCCGCTGGGACCCACAAGTGTCCAGACGTAAACAGCTTACGGTTTCAGTGCGCTGCTTTTCTCGAGACGACTGAAGGCGCTTGATCTGGTTCTCTAAGTCACGATTCTTCTCCTCCATTTCTTGAAGTTGTCGGTTCATGGAAGAGTCATTTCTGAGTGTCTTGAAGGAAAAGGAAAAAAATCGTAGTTGCGTAGTAGCTGAAGTTTAAATTTACTATCGGCATCCAAGGAACCATGAAACGCAGTGTGTCGAAAATAAATGCTTGTATGAGTGTGTATCGATGCGCTAGCCTGATTTAATACTGTGGCTGCTGGAACCAAATGTAGTTAGTTTATTGCAATTAGATTAGAAGCCAGCTAAGCCAACTACCAACCCGAAAGCGCTCCATCTACTCATGAGTAGTTAAATCAAATTTACGAACTCATTTGTTAACCGGACAGAAGAAAATTAGGAAAGGATTGAAAAATGCTGACTGATGACTTCATCTTTGACGGTTCAAATGGACAGTTGGTTCCATTCTACTCTCATGACCGTGCTTTCACGTGGAGGTAAGGCGTGACCCGCATCACGTGGACCCAATGGATCCTGGTTCACAGAGGGTAGCAGCTACAATAATCAAATAGGAAATCTGGTGATGGTTACTGTACCTCCAACCCACTGTAAACTTGGTGGAAATTCGAGTAAAATGCAGCGGGAAACTGTATTCACACCTCATCACTCCGGAAGCTATCTGGTAATCGTCAATAAGCTCTTTCAAAACACCGTAACCGTGGTCCTCTACCAATTTGGCGCCCCGTGAGTGACTAGGCCCCAGGAATTCCCTTTTACTGTGCTTTCCCGACCACTCTTAGTTACACGTACACTTACATTTTCACATATCAAGTTACATCTCAGAAGCAATTCTCCATGCGGAAGACAGATAAACGTATACTGTTTTCAGTAGTTCAGTCAGAGTCATCACACGTCCGGAAATGCCCTGCAGATCGTTTCATCCTTTCGGGAATCGTCAGAAGTGCACATTCACTCTAGTCTCTGTTAGGCTCAAACCCTCAATTCCATTGTTACCAGCTCTTAGTGAAGATCACTAAGCGATAACCAACACGTTAGACGTGATATAGCGTCGCTCACACTCCCGTGACGTGTACCTTACAGCCTTGAGATTTGCTGTTCATGTGTTGGTGACAGGATACTCTTTATATGGTTCCTTTAATGCACAACAAGCAAAACAGCACTCGATGTCCAGATAGGCACATCCAGCTATCCCTCCGTTGGAACACAAATTGCTTGCGCAGATGAAGTTGGGTCCAAGTGTACATGGAAAATGGATTGCATTGCCATGAGAAAACGCGTTAACGGTGGTCGAACGTAAGTCCGACTGTTAAAGAGAAGCTATTCTACAAATGGCACCCATTTAGGCTAGATGCCTGATTACCCTTTGGGCGCATGCGGTAAGATGATGGTACTTGCTGCTGGCATCCGAAAGTCATGGGATCGGAACCCGGCAGGAGTCCGATGGAAGGCGCACCACTGACGACACCCAGAAGGTCGACACGACGCTGTCTGGTGCTTTTCCAGACTTGCCAAAGTCTGCCGACTAAAGAGTGGACCGGGATGAACTACCTCTGAATTTTACATTGATGAAGAAGATCGACGCCAGTCAGGCGCATAACGTCACTGAAGGGTGGAGGTCCACGTATATTAAGTGACGTTCAGTAGCTTGCGCATTGCACACAGTTTTATAAACGTATAAGCCAAGCAGCCTCTTCTCAAGAGCCTACCTTATGGAAAAGTAATAATTCTACCGCGTCACGATACAACCAAAGTAGCTAAAAAGAATAACAGGGAGAGTCGGTAGTAAGCTTACCCTGATTTGCTTCATTCGGGTCAGCTGACCTCGCAACTCATTGCATTCCGCTTCCAACTGTTCGTTTCGCTGTTTCAAGAGGCTGTGTATGTCTGAACTAGGGACTGCGAAAGAGCAAGATCGATATTATCGGTTAAAAACATATAGACGGTTACATGAATCCCGCGAAAGCCACGCAACTTTACTTCATACAAACATGATGTTTGCGGAAGAATGTACCGATCACCAAAGGACGAGCCTTAAATTGTTGATATGGTCAAGGGCGTGATAAAACATAATATATTTTCGTTGGTATGCGTACAAGAAATAATCGTCAAACCAGAAGGCAGGTATAAAGATCGACAGACCCTGTTGTAAATCCGATTCCTCCCTCACTGCCACGACGTGTTCTGGAAATCCAGACTGCACTGCCGGAGTAACAACGGCTTCCACCGATTTGTCGACCATGCTGGGCGCCCGAACGCCTTCCACGGACGAGAGTTTGTTGGTTGGAGCATTTATCAAAACCGCGTGTTCAGCCTGTGCCAACAAGTCGCGCCGAAGTTCAGCAAGTGCTTTCGTGAGGGCCTGTACGCGGGGTGAGACAACGCTGTGAACGGGCATAAACCATAGGCGGCATACTTGAAAATAATAAGCAGCATATTCGCGTAAATTTAGGCGAGTAACCAAGCTAGGTGCACACTAGCAGGCTTGTACACGCCTATGGAGATGTATCCGAAAAAATCGCTTCATGTCACTTCCGTTGCTACTAATGGGTAAGAGGATACTCAATGCAATTGTACTGATTGGCCCCAGCAGCTCATATGCCAGATAGTCTAACCATCAATCCAGTGTATATTTCAGGATTAGTAGTTAGACTATCTGACTTACGAGCTTCTCGGAAGAGTCAGGATAACTTCTTCGCCATCTAATGCTTGTTAGTATGGGTTGTATTAATGGACTCACAGTAAGTGAAGTGCCCAAAACTATGAGTCTCCACCAGCGATCAGAGGCATGGGCCACAGCGTCACAGCGAATGCAAACACGTGATGCGCTGAAGTAGCTGTTGCTGAGGTCGACGACAACCCGTTAGCGTCGCAAAGGGTTAAAGCCAAGTGTACTGGTTTCCCGGATTTAGGCGGTAAAGTACACCACACGTTATAACGAATGTGGACAAAGTTGCAGTCACAAAGGGGAAGTGTACCTTTGAGTGGCTTAGCTGGAGTCCATCACAGCGTAAGGTGTTAAGCTGCTAGTATGCATTCAGATAGTAACAGATAGTCGAGTTGTTCCTCAATCTAGTTTCGGACCCGGCCGACTGGAAACCGGTATTCTCTTGCCACCATCACTAATCTAATCGCCTGCAAACCAGGAAAGAAGCCACAAGCCGATTTGATAAAGTCTTGAAGGCTGTGGCGTCACACAATTTATCATGCAAACCGGTACCTTTATGATACCTACTAGGTGTGTGCTGATGTCGAGTTTCGATGAATTCCGGTTAGACCACTGGAAACAGTCACTAACTGCAGTTATGACGATGTTCTTTAAGTTTTGTCAAGTCTCTGGGACATTTTACACTGCTACAATTTTATAAAACACTGAAATAAGTCACACGGTAAATTGGTTACCTGTTGACGCTTCTCGCGGTCCGCCAGTTCAGCTTTAAGACGTTCGGTTGTCTGGCGCTGAGCAGCCGACGGAGATTTACTTGCTTCCTGTTTCCATTTACTGACCTCCGAGGACAGTTCGCGTACACGTTTGTTACAGTGGTTTAACTGGGCTTGTAGATTTTCACGATCCAGTTGAAGCTGAGAGAACAGACGCCTTTGATGGGATAGCAAAGGTGGCGGATTTCGGATTGTAAGATTCAAAAGTTAAACATCATATCTATACTGATAGTTATAAAGGTTTTAGGTGTATAAGGTGTCAACACCAGAAGAAAGTTAGTGAACATGTGTATTTCCAGTAAACCCCATCAGATTGGTGCACCAGGACAAAATGACGTGAAGGAAGACGGAGGATAATGAGAAAAATGGCCGAGCTGGTTTATGTAGTCAAGCAAAATGATTAGTCTCAGAACGATCAACCCCATACAGTTGATGTCCCCCCCCGCGTGGATCTGCGTGATTGGAAGCTATAAGAGGTTTGTTTTGCGCTCAGAGGAATGGACACTGAAGTCTAATAGGGACCGTACCTAACCAGCATGTGCTACATGAGCTAGAAGAACAGGTGCATTAGAGCAAGCGGTTCGAAGCTAACACTTATCCAAAGGATAAGATTTGTTGCTTGAATGCTTGCTTCTTTGTACACTCTTACAGACAGTAGTGAGCAGGTGGTTATCACATATATCCACGACATGACTCTATCGTCTTATCCGGATGTACGGAACCGGACTGATGTTGGATATCGAAGTTAGTGACTACGGAGAAATACCTAACGATACTAGATCAGCCATTCTATCCACGTATGAACGCATTAAATGAAGATAGTCAATGGTCAATGGTATTTGGCAGATAAATCAAGCCGAAGCTTGACATGTCCCGACGGATGATCGGTCAGGGATGAGCAAAATAAATACAAAAATGGCAAACTAGTGAACAACTGCAAATTGCGAATTTGCTGATTACAGCGTTCCCGTCCGTTTTATGTACTATCCAAGATAATCCTCTGCGGTTTCGGGGCAAGATTGGAGGTGGGTTGATTTGTTTTTGTTTTCTGCTGTATGTATGGGTCGTTTGAATTACGTGATGTGGTGTAGTATGGCCAGTGCACTGTCGACGCTTGCTTTGAACACGGCTAACGTAGAGGCTGAGAGTGTATTCCAATTGTGGCAAACACGCAACGAGAAGACATTTCTTCGACACTGCAATTGACTGTATTGTTCTGCCAATTTGATCACCTCTCAGCTGGCTATTGCGACTCAATTTCACTGGGTAGTGGCAGGGGTGAATAGTATTGTTTCATATTTGGTAAACCATGATTAGATCATCACGCAAACAGCGATAACGTCCACTGCAATTGCCAAGCACCCAGAGGCGCTGTTCGTAGGATAAGTGGCGCAGCCCCTTGACATTTCTGGTCGCCCGACGTTGTTGGAGCTCCAAGGCCGTGAGATCTCGCTTTAGCCATGGGTGCCATGCTTGAATTACATCTTCAACATGAGGGCGTATACAAACGGGAACTAAAAGACCTAGTAACGAATTCAAGCAAGCTCGCCCCCAGACTGCAGTTAAGCAAGCACAAAGCACAATACGAAACAAAGTGTGTCGGGTCATGGCTCACATGACCCACGAGTGAGAAATTATCGATCGGTCAATGCGAGGAAAACTAAAATGAACGCGGTGCGGCTGAACTAACTGATCGATATCATCGATGATGTAACAAAAGGTTTGGCGGAAGATCGACGGTTTGAACTGCCCGAAAGCTCCCCGTAAAAGCCTCACTGCTTGGATCCTCATCTTCGATGTTTTTTTGGACTGCTCCGAGCAGCCAAGATCTTCCTGGACCAAGACACCGAGATCCTTTTCGAGAGAATAGTGTTGCAGATCCTGGTCCCCTAGCTTATATGTGTGAACCATTCGGTGTCTTCAATGGAGCACTCGACATTCAGACACATTGAAGAAAATACGATTTTGGACCGATGAACCAAACATCTTGTCAAGGTCGGTTTGAAGATGGATACGGTCTTCTGGAGCTCTGATAACTCGCCAAACTTTGATGTCATCGGCACAGAGTAAACAGCTTGACGCAATTTGACTCACTGGATCGTTTATGAAGCCCAAGAATAGACGGAGCCCCAATCCAGAACGCTGTGTCACTCCGCATTCGACGTGAATTGGGTCTGACCTGGCTTCACGTCCTCTCACATTCATCCGTCTGTGCGAGAGAAAATTGCAGATCCACCCCAGGAGAGGGTCCCCATTGCCAAACCCTTGAAGTTTGGCGAGAAGGATAAGATGGTCCAACCGGTCGAATGCCTTAGAGAAATCAAGGTAAACCCCATCAACTCCTGCACCAGTGTCCACGGTTTCGGTCCAGCTGTCTTGTGCTAACAATAGATTGGTTGCGCACGATCGATTCTGGTAGAAGCCGCGTTGTTGCTGAGCAATGCAACCGAAGCCGTCCAGATAAGACATGAGTGCGTCGGTAATGATAGCCTCCATAACTTTTGAAAGAACTGGCAGTAGAGTCACTGGTCGATAATTAGCTGGGTCGGAACGACTACCCCCTTTGTAAATGGGAGTTATTATTCCGTGTTTCCACATTGCAGGAACGTGCCGCTCGTCAAGGCAGTGCTGGAACAGCCGCGCCAAATGTTCAGCCAAAGTAGTAGCCGCCACAGCAAGCGTCTTTGAGCGGATGTCGTCAATTCCTGGACATGCGCGCAGGCGCATGGATAGCAGTTTTCTCATAACGATGCCTGCCGTAATATATATATATATATATATATATATATATATATATATATGTACATGAAGTACCTCGGACATACGACCAAGCGTCTGTCAACAAGGATAGCTGAGCACTGTCCCGGGTCTCTTCGAAAAGGCACTGCCGGAAGTATCAAAAGTTCCATCCCTGTACATCTGATTCAAAGTGGACACGAACTGATGGCAATGATGTTTTCGACGTTTTCTGCACCGTGTCAAAACGATACCCTAAGGGGATTAAGAGACGTCTCCTTAAGATTGCGGAATCGATAGCGATCAAGTTAACGCAACCGGAGCTTTGCAAGCAGAGAATGCTACTGCAATCTCTCACGCTGCCGTGGCCGTGATAAGGATCCATCCGCATGGAACACCGATGAGACCAAAGGTGGCATCACCTCTCTGCTGACCCAATTTGCTTCGAGAAGTGGTCAGTGAGCTGTGACAATTAGAGTCAAATAAGGTCAGCCTTTATCGACAACACAAGCTTTATTAATTGGTTCAATCAATGTAACTTACATCCGAATAAATTCAGACTCTCTCCTACTTTCGCTTCAGTTTTCGTTAGCTTATACGTATCCCATCTGTGCTTGTAAACTTATTGGGCTAATGTGAGTTACCGAAAGGAGATCCCTTTGCAATCGTGTTTTCATATATGAGCGAGTCCTGGTGTGGACACCATACATTCCAAAGATTCAGGACACCAGGGGATGGAATTAAACCTTAGTGTATGTTGCTGTTGCAGAACGTTCGACGCTTCTTTAGCAGTCCGAGTTAGATCATCCGTGGTTTGAAGAGAGGGAAATCCACTTTTTACCTTGCGGAGGCTGTTCACATTCTTGTACAGAAGCTTGGGATTTGAAGTTAGTCGCTCGGCTAAAGCATGTTGATAAGCTACTTTGTCCTCGCCCACTAACTAGGTGCAGTTGTTACCGTAAACAACGTATGCCTTCCAGATTCTCGGACTCGAATCGGTTTTGTAGGTATGCCGCGGCGCGTTGCGTATCACCATGCGTTTCCTTGTCCTACTCCGTATGAACGACCCCATGTTTCCAGAACTGGAATTCTTGGTTTCCCAAGTTCCCGTCGCAACGAGACTGGACCATAACGTGGTGCGACGGTTTGCATACCTCACTGACCCATTGAACTATACTGGGTGATGCCTCTGGGCACCTTGAGAGCTACTCCTACCAGGTTGGTCAGTGGTGAGAAGTCAGACAAACTCAGTCTCCTGGTTCTCCATGTTGGGGGTTTGAAATGGGATGGCGTCCATTTCTGTAATACTAAATCATTGCCACCTCCCCGCTGCCTTCCGGACAGCCTTTTGAGCCAAAGGCTTTGGGTGAGGACCCTACTCGTCCTCCTGTCTAGGTCTGGGCGCCCTGGCAGTATCTCAGTCCACACACAACCATGGCATTTTCTTCAAACATAAACTTCATCCTGCATCGGCCGTCGCGCAGATTTTCAAGGATCGCCTTATCTGCTGCATACATCAGGGCGGATAAACGAAAACACGCTACCGCTGGCTCCTCCCTTCTTTCTTTTCCACCTTTTTCTCTTACTCCCATCCCGACCCCCATTACTAACGTTCCTTCTATAATTCCCAGCTAAATTGACAGTAACCGAAGTGCCACTGGAGTAAAACTATCTGCAGCCACTATCCCACCACACCTAATGGACGCCCATCGGCAAAACTCCCTTATAAGGCCCCGATATCCCGTTTCCATGGTGACATTCAACGTTCGCACACTAAGACAAATAGGTCAACAGGCTGCACTCGGACGCACCTTGGACACACTGGGTACTGATGTGTGTTGTGTGTCCGAAACTAGGATCAATGACCCTAACGGGATTATTGAATTAACTACACCCGGCTTATCCTCTCGTTATTGGTTGCATGCATCCGGAGACGCCAATGCAGCACTCACGGGTCAAGCTGGTGTAGGTATTATTCTCAGCTCCAAGGCTGAGCCATCGTTGGTTGATTGGATTCCGGTGAACAGTCGTTTATGTGCAGCCCGTTTGACGGCATCAGCTAAGGTTGATTCACGAAGTGGTAAAAAACGCTGTTTGTTTGTGCTTTCCGCTTATGCTCCCACCGACTGCAGTTCTAATGCTGTCAAGGACACTTTTTATCACGAACTGAATGCGCTCCCACGAAGTGCTACTAGTTCAGATATTAAAGTACTTGCAGGGGATATGAACGCACAAGTAGGGCCTGATTCGCACCAGCAGCAGCAGTCGCACAGACTGTTCTAACCACAGGGCTATTAGCCTAACGCCAGTTGTGACAAAATTATTGGCCTCGATTATTGTTCGCCGCCTCACTGCGGAACGGGAATCTCAGATTAGGGAAGAGCATGCTGGTTTCCGCCCAGGACGTGGCTGTATAGACCA